AGACTCACTGGCCTGTCAGCTCGTCTATATAGACTCACTGGCCTGTCAGCTCGTCTATATAGACTCACTGGCCTGTCAGCTCGTCTATATAGACTCACTGGCCTGTCAACTCGTCTATATAGACTCACTGGCCTGTCAACTCGTCTATATAGACGCACTGGCCTGTCAGCTCGTCTATATATAATCATTGGCCTGTCAGCTCGTCTATATAGACTCACTGGCCTGTCAGCTCGTTTATATAGACTCACTGGCCTGTCAGCTCGTCTATATAGACTCACTGGCCTGTCAGCACGTCTCACTGGCCTGTCAGCTCGTCTATATAGACTCACTGGCCTGTTAGCTCGTCTATATAGACTCACTGGCCTGTCAGCTCGTCTATATAGACTCACTGGCCTGTCAGCTCGTCTATATAGACTCATTGGCCTGTCAGCTCGTCTATATAGACTCACTGGCCTGTCAACTCGTCTATATAGACTCACTGGCCTGTCAACTCGTCTATATAGACGCACTGGCCTGTCAGCTCGTCTATATATAATCATTGGACTGTCAGCTCGTCTATATAGACTCACTGGCCTGTCAGCTCGTTTATGTAGGCTCACTGGCCTGTCAGCTCGTCTATATAGACTCACTGGCCTGTCAGCACGTCTCACTGGCCTGTCAGCTCGTCTATATAGACTCACTGGCCTGTCAGCTCGTCTATATAGACTCACTGGCCTGTCAGCTCGTCTATATAGACTCACTGGCCTGTCAACTCGTCTATATAGACTCACTGGCCTGTCAGCTCGTCTATATAGACTCACTGGCCTGTCAGCTCGTCTATATAGACTCACTGGCCTGTCAGCTCGTCTATATAGACTCACTGGCCTGTCAGCTCGTCTATATAGAATCACTGGCCTGTCAGCTCGTCTGGGGACAGGCAGTATATTTAGATGAGCTGTGGTGTCATTGAATTTATACTGCCGATTTGCGATCAAAAGGAGTCTTTTTGTCGACTAGAAATCGCTCTTAAATATTTCATTTGAATATCCTTCCGAATCAATAACATTTATTTGATGAGAATAAAACTTTTTTTATTGTAACAAAGTACCTGATGATTTGAATACTTTTTTGTATTATCTTTACTTTCCCTTGTGCTTTGCCCTGTACTCTATGTACCCAATCAGCATTACCAAGTAGCTGTAGAACGAAATGCAGTGACATAGTATTCCCATTTTTAAAGTCAAATTAGTAAAATTGATTTTTCCATCTCATCCACTCCTCTCGATGATGACGACGACGTACCCATGCTGTGGAGCAGTTATTTATCTCCGCTTTTGTTCCCCTTTATCACACTTTTCTGCCTTTAGCAACGACTTTCTCCCTGCCCACCTCTTAACATACATTGCCTTAATGCTCGCAATGGCTTTTTTAAACCCCTTTTGTATTTTTCCAAAATGTTTTTTTTTCTTCGAGATTTTGTTTGAAATATTTTATTCTTTTACATCCTCATCTTACCTACCTTCCTCCTTTCCAATTGAGTTCTCCCTTTTTTGGTTTATTTTCATTAGATTAATTTTATAAACCTTTTGTTCGAAATGATTTTTATTCTAGCTTGGAAAAGTTTTTTCTATTCATGCTGCTGGTTCTTTCACTGGTGTTCAATAGATGCGATTTTTTGGGCAGGGGGGAAATGATTTTTTGTACAGTAAAGTTCTTTGAAAAACGTATACGTGAAGACTATATGGGAAATTTTTAAAAACAAATATGAAAGAACTTAAAACCATTATTCCGCTAAAGGGCTACGTAACCTTTGCGAACTAGGTAAACTTTTGACGGCTAGTAGACTTTGTGGGCTATGCATACTTTGAGAGGGATGTGAAGCTCTTTACAAAGGATGTATCTGGCTATATATATCAGTTAAAACCCCGTAATTTTTTAATGACCTGAAGCTTGTATACGAGTTGATTGCTCCGGAGTATTTATAGGTATACTCAGTTCACCTGAATAGGTGGCTTTTTAAGACGACTTGAGGGTAGGTTTGGAAATGAATATAGACCATTTAAATGGGTAGGGGATGTACATAGACGAGTGGAAGGATTAGAAGTAATATACAGATGATTTAAAATGCTACGTTTTGTTTTTATACATTTTGAGAAGCTAAATCGGTATGCACCACATAAAAGCCCGCATAGTGAAGGCCAGGCCAAGGTCTTTATACACCAACAGAAAGCCAGAGTGTGATTGTCGACATCAAAGTGCGTGTTTTCTTTTTTTACAAGAACATTTCTGTAGTCGAGCTTCAGGACCAAGTTGAATCTAATAAGATTCAGGAAGGAGAACATATGTAGACGTACTGCGTAGAATTTAAATGCACAATAAAACTAGAAGTTGTGGTTAATTAAATTGTACGAAGGTCCCTCGATATTTTCCCCCGAAAGTGCATATATCTCAAACCTGAAAAGATGTAGGATATAACCGATTTATTTACCGGAAAGAGGACTCCAAGACCATTTAAATGATGAATTTTTTTTGAAGTTGTGTTTAATTAAAATTGGGCGTAAATAGGAACACCTCAGGATTTAAGAGTCTTTTATGGTAACTGTTTTTTTTGTCAAGAAAAAACTGCATATTATTTTAACAAGGACTTCAGGACCTTTACAATATCGTACGGCTGGTAGACGCACAGAGATCTATTTAGGACTGCCTGTGAATTCCCTGGATATTTCCAGGAAGTTGAATATATCTCGAACTGGAAAAGATTTGGGCCTTTCCAATGAGGCTTTTCTGAAAAAAAATCAAGGAATGAGAGAATCAGCAATGTTCCAAAGACAATATATCTATTGCAATCTGTAAAAGCAAGAACATCTTCGAAATGTCTTTTGAGGTCTGAATACCTCCTAGAGGTCTTTCATAGCCACAAAAACATTACATACGTCTTCTATATATTCTATAAAGAATGATCTTCCATGGGTATTCTATAGACAGACCTTTCACTGGACTTACAGAGACAGAACCTCGTTGCTTATGTTTCTATAGCCAAATAAATGTCCTCAGGCTTGTTTTAAGATAGAAGACCTTTTACCCCTGCAGGACTAACATAAGTAGGAACCCTTTTCCCTATTGTCTTCTATAGCCAGGAAATACTTCCAAAGGCTTTAAAAGTTTATAAAATACTGACCCTTTGTGGAGGAGATACCAGTAGGATTGGACCATTGGGTCCCATATTTTGTACAAAGTTTAGTTCAAATCGGACAGTCCGTTCGCAAGATTAAATTTCATTAACAATTTTAACATTTTGTGGGGGAGGTACCAGAAGGTGTGGGCATATATTCCTCATTTTCGAACTTGAACTAAGTTTGGAGGAAATATTACCATGTGCAAAGTTTGGATAGAATCGGTTACTTGCTTCGAAAGTTATCGTGCGCACCAGCCAGACGGACGGCCATTTGAAAATCGACTCCAAATTGTCTGAAACCGATTTGGTGCAAAGAAACATGGCGTCTGAAACCAATATTTCTATGAAGCACATTTTTTCCGTATCAACGTGTATATAGCCTCATTGGGCGGAAGTCATAAAATGAGACCTCACCCAGGTCTTCTATACATAGGAAACCTCCTTTAGGACTTCAAATAGAAAATCTTTCCCAACTTTTTCCATTGCCACAAGATCTTCCTGCTATAGAGAGAAGATTTACCGCAGGCTATTTAGAAATAAAAGATCTCCCACAGGGGTTTTAAACACATAACCGTCCACAGGCATGCTGCAGATTTATATCTTCGATAGATAAAATATAATTCACAATTTTTTTATGGATAAAAGACCTTCGACAGGTCTTCTATAAATAGAAAACCGTCGACAATTTTTTTATAAATAGAAGACCTTCGACAGGACTTCTGTAGCTACAAGACCTTCGATAGTGCTTCTATAAATAGAAAAGCTCCGACAGATCTTCTATTGTAAAAGACCCTCGAAAGATCTTCTATAGATAGAAGACTTTTAATAGCTCTTTTATGTATAGAAGCCTTGGCACAGATCTTCTGGGGATTGAAAATCTGCTCGAAGTATTCTATGGATAGAAGTTCGCAATTCTTTTATATACAAAGGATCTTCGAAAATTCTACTGATACATTGTGGTATAAATGGTGTTATTTATTTTTATTCCTCAGGTCCTCTATAGGTGTAAGACTTTTTTAGAAGTTCCGCAAATCCTTTATATATCTTCGAAAATCTACTCATACATTGTTGTGTAAGTGGTTTTATTTCGGTATTCAACGTATACCGAATGTATTCTTTAGATTGGAGCTATTCCTCAGGTCCTCTATAGGTGTAAGACTTTTCACAGGACTGTAACAGACTTTCCGCTGAACATCTATGTAAGGAAAGCATTATTTAAGTCATTTATGGATAGAAGATCGTTCACAAGTCGTATTTCAATGACTTTTAATAAGGTCGATTCAGCGACGCTTCAATCGACGCTGTAATATTGGCATGGACCCAAAACGAAGTCACACAATGTTCAAAGTGAAGGTTTCAGTGGCCAATTCTGATAGCCTCTCCGAAAAAATAACATCATCATAATCCTTCAGAAGTGACCGAAATAATACCTCATGTTAGAGAACTCTTTTTAAGATGTCCCGTGTATATTCTCTAGATAGAAGCTTTGCCTCATGGTTTCCATAGATGTAAGACCCTAGTTGGACTTCAATAAATAAAAGACTATCTGCAGGTCTCTATGTCCGAAAAACTGTCCTCAGGTCTTTCATGAATCGAAAATCTTTTATGGGACCTCTGTAATAAAAATTTACAATTATGACAATCTTTTTTTAGGGATCTCCATTATCTTTAATTACTGAAATATGCTACAGTTACAATATCCTGGCCCCAGGCTGTCTTATCTTAGTCAACTCAACTTTTTTTTACATATATATTAAATGTTGATATAAAATTTGTTCTAATACATATCTTTTTTTCTTTTCTCCTTTCTCTCCCTCTCCCTTTTTTTCTATTTTATCATCCACAGGGAAGATTGTATGATAAGGATTCACAAAATGTTACGAACTGGTAAATTGGATCATGCCATTGCATTAATGCGAGCTGCCAGGTAAGTTTAGCATCATTACATACTAAGAAAAAGAACCAACGAAGGAAAAACGCACACCCGATATAGAGCGCAAATGAATGAATATTTTGGATGTGGAATTGTGGTGTGGTAGGGGGTCTGGCGGTATGAAAACAATACTGCACGGCCAAAAAATGCCTAAGAGAATTGCAAGTGAATTGAAATTGACGTTGGGTAGGTAGGTATGTTGTTACATGGTTTCGAATTTCCGATTTTCTGCTTTTTTGTCTAATGGTCCCGCTAATGGTATTTAAAATGTATTTTGATTACTTCGCACATTTTGATGAAGGAGAGATGAAAGTAGAAAAAACGACGACGACGACGACTACGATTGATAAAAGTGTGTTAATTTCAATGATAACGATTGCATAAAAATCTGACTGTCTGCCTGTTTGCGATGATGTGTAAGGAAGCGTATTTGTTGGAAGACTTTTTTCTTTTTGACGAGAAAAAAAGTAATTCGAAAGTATTGAATAACTTAGTTTCTTTAGGCATTTTTGAACAATTTTGAGTAATCTTTAGAGATTTGTTTGTAATCAATCTAATGTTTTCATTGTTATAGTGATGTTATTCGGTCGGCAAGCGGGTGAGGTTAAATGTGTAAACATATGTGTCACAGAGTGATGATGGAGTAAGGGAGGGGTATGAAGCAAATAAGGGTTTATTATTTTTCCAAATATTCTAATTAGGAAAGTCCCTTGAGTTTTATATATATCTCGAAACTGAAAAGTGTTAGGTACTTCCAATGAATACCTGCAGACACAATCAAGGAATTGAGGAATGAAGCTGTGACACATGTCTTCTACGGGTTGAAAACCTCTCATATGGCATCTACAGGTAGCATATCTTCCAAAAGTTTTCTATATAGCCATATATAATGGAATGAAGAACTACGAAATAACCTTGAATCCTGAATAACTTCTAGAGGTCTTCCATAGTTAGAAAAAAAGAACGGTAACGACTTGGACTGGACTTACAGAGGTAGACCGACATCTTTTCCCATGTATTTATAGTCAGATACATTCCTACAGGCTTGCTTTAAGAAAGTGAATGGAATGCCCACCATAATTAGGGGAGAGTGTCACAGTTGACCAGATATAACCATCGTATCACCAGGTTTGATAAAGGACATTAACTGGCAGACTATTACATCCATCACCCAAGGAAGTCCTACTTATATTAACCATAGAAAATATTAGCAGGACCTAAGACTTTTGAGGCATTACTCCGCAACAGCATTAGTGCAAGTTAGTAAGTTGCCCTTCAACACGGTAACGACCTTCCATGCTATCATGTTATCTTCCACTTGATCTTTAAATTTTATTCGTGGCCTTCCCCTTCTGTGTGAACCATCAGCTGGTTCGCTTTTATATGCCTTCTGGGCTGTGGCATCTTCATCCATTCTCACAACATGACCTAGCCAACGTAGTCGCTGCAGCTTAATACGTCCAACAATGTCGATGTCCGAGAATACCTGGTACAACTCATGCTTCATTCGACGGCGATATTCACCATCAACGCAGATCGTCCCATAGATCTTTCGGAGAATTTTTCTCTCAAACACTACAAGAGCTGTCTCATCTGCTTGCGCAAGTACCCATGCTTCAGATCCATATAACAGCACGGCTAGTATTAGCGTCTTGTAGAGTGTGAGTTTGATCTGGCCGGAGGTGGCCTTGCTTTTGAGTTGTTTGCTCAGACCATAGTAGCAGCGGTAGGTCATCATTATCCTTCTCCGAATTTCAAAACTGATGTCATTCGTTTTATTTATGGCGGTACCAAGGTATATAAAATCTTTGACTACCTCGAAGCTGTTGTTCTCAAGTTCCACAGTCGGTCCGAGTCTACTGGACGTCTTGCGCGTTGATACCATCAGCTTGGTCTTCTCGCCGTTTACTGCCAGACACACTTTGGCAGACTCCTTCTCAATTTGTTCAAAAGTGGCTGTTACCGCTCTAAATGTTGTGTCGATGTGTTTTTCGTGGTTTTTATACCCTTCACCACACTGTGGTACAGGGTATTATGTCTTTGTGCATATGTTTGTAACAGGCAAAAATAATCGATATAGACCCATGGTTCCTTTTGAGAATATGCATAGAATCACTTTCAGAGTCGATTTATGCATGTCCGTCTGTCTGTCCGTCTGTCCGTCCATGTATTTTTGTTAACAAAGTACAGGTCGCATTTATGATCCGATTTGGATGAAATTTGGCACAGGTCACTTAATTGGCCCAAGGACGAACCCTATTGAAATTGGAGAAAATCGGTCCACGTTTAGGCATAGCTCCCATATAAGGGTACCCCTATATGGGGTACCCTTATATGAGCGAGTTTTTTAACTGAATTCGCTGAAATTTGGTACTTTGAGTTCTTATTGGGTAGCAAATCTCCCTACCAAAAATTATAAATGAAGGTCCATTTTTTCGGATAGCCCCCATATAAGATTACCACCAATTTTCGGTATTTTGGGGGTTTTGATCGCATTTTGCGACCGAATTCGCTGAAATTTGGTACTTTGTGTTCTCATTAGGTAGCAAATCTCCCTACCAAAAATTATAAATAAAGGTCCATTTTATTCGGATTGCCCCCATATAAGGGTACCCCCAAATTTTCGGTATTTTGAGGTTCTTGAGCGCGTTTTTTAACTCAATTCGCTGAAATTTGGTACTTTGAGTTCTTATTGGAAAGCAAATCTCCCTACCAAAAATTATAAATAAAGGTCAATTTTTTCGAATAGCCCCCATATAAGATTACCCCCAATTTTCGGTATTTTGGGGGTTTTGATCGCATTTTTCGACCGAATTCGCTGAAATTTGGTACTTTGTGTTCTTATTGGGTAGCAAATCTCCTTACCAAAAATTATAAATAAAGGTCCATTTTATTCGGAAAGCCCCCATATAAGGGTACCCCCAATTTTCGGTATTTTCGGGTTCTTGGGCTCGTTTTATAACTGAGTTCTCTGAAATCTTGTACATTGGGTTCCTATTGGGTACCAAATTACTCCACTAAAAATTATAAATATAGGTCCAGTTTTTCTGGTAGTCCCCATATAACGGTACCCCCAAAATTTTGGTTTTTTTAGGGTTCTGATCGTATTTTTCGACCGAATTGACTGTAATTTAGTACGTCGAGTTCTTATTAGGTAGCACATCTCTCCACTATAAATTATAAATATTGGTCAATTTTTTCTTGTAGCCTCCATATAAGGGAACCCCCCAATTTTCGGTATTTTGAGGTTCTTGAACCAAATTCTTTTTATACCCTTCACCACACTGTGGTACAGAGAATTATGTCTTTGTAACAGGCAAAAGGAAACCAGACAGACCCATAGTGCCTTTTGAGAATATGCACAGAATCACTTTTAGAGTCGATTTAAGTATGAAATTTGGCACAGCGTAACAAATTAGGTCTAAAATGATGTGTGTTAAGTTTCCTGAAAATCGGTTCAGATTTAGATATAGATCTCATATATATATATATTCCTATATATATTCCTAGGATAGGATGTCCTATATATCTCTCGATTTGCACTAAATTTGGCTCAGCGTAATGAATTAGGTCTAGAATGATGTGTGTTAAGTTTCCAGAAAATCGGTTCGGATTTAGATATAGCTCCCATATATATTTTCGTCCGATTTAATGTAAATGGTGCACCAAAGTCCATTAATATCTTTCGGTTTGCACTAAATTTGGCACAGCGTAATGAATTAGGTCTAGATGTGTGTTAAGTTTCCTGAAATCGGTTCAGATTTAGATATAGCTTTTATATCTGACCAAATGAACAATTTAGTATCGGTTGTAGAATGACGTGTTTATGGTTCCAATTTCCAATTTCCTTTAAAAATGCGACGTCTGTTAGGATTCATCTGTTGAATATACTCAAAGTGGTGAAGGGTATCATATAGTCGGCCCCGTCCGACTTTACTACTTTTTTTACTTTTTTTTTCAGGATTTGGCGCAGAGTGAAAATCTGGTCTATGGTTTTGTCAGGTCTGAAGCCGCATTGGTATGGTCCAATAATGTCATTGACCATTGCCTTCAGTCGTTCACACTGTACGCTGTATAGCACTTTATATGCGACGCGAAGGAGACTTGTTCCTCTATAGTTGGCACATGTCGTCTTGTCTCCTTTTTTGTGCACGGGACACAGGATGCTGAGGTTCCAATCATTGGGAATGCATTCTTCTAGCCAAATTGTACTAATCAGCTGGTGCATACTCCTTACCAGCATCGGCTTGTAACCCAACGGCACCTGCCGCTTTATTATTCTTCAGCTGATTGATTGCTATTCTGACTTCATTTTGGCTGGGGTATCCTCTTCACCGCTACTATTTGATAAGTACCAGAAGTTTTCAAAATGCTCCTTCCAGATCCTCAATACGCTGTCTGTATCTGTGACCAGGTTTCCTTCTTCATTTCTACAGGAGGATGTGCTGCACCAAAACCTTCGGTTTGATGTTTTACTCATTGGTAAAATTTCCGGACTTTATTCTGACTCATGTACATCTCGATTTGCTCACGCTCGTGGTTTTCTTGGTCTTTCTTCGTTTTTCTGAAAATACGTTTCTCCTCGCTGCGTTTTTCACATCAGTGGCATTACAACACTCCTGATCGTACCACGGATTTCTTGATGGTGGTCTTTGGTACCCAAGTGTTGCTTTTGCTGCAATTTGTAGGGAGTATTGTGATAGATCGCACCTTTGCTGCTACATTAAGACAGGCTGCCACAAAGTAATAGTCCGAATCGATATTTGCTCCCCGGTTCGATCGGACGTGTAGAACACTGGATGAATGCCTTCCGTCTATCACAACATAATTTGATTTCTCGTTGTTCGATCGGGTGAAATCCAAGTGATACACAAGGTCACTTGGATTTCTCCCGAGATGCTTGAATCTGGTGCAGCTAACTATCATGTTTTGAAAAATATTCTTAAAAAAATCAACGCCTTCTTTATAAAAAAAACCAAGGCTTCAGCTGTTCGTGAAAAAATCCAC